AAATGTCTTCGGCCCTGATCAAGAAACATTTACAAAAAATCTAATGAAAAACACCAAATATTAGATTTCAGAATATATATATATATCTAATGTTTGGTGTTTTCATTACATTTCAAAATTTGGACAGTGCCGAGAACTTTTCAGCATAACCACTATATAAATAATCCTAAACAAAATTAAAAAATTAAAATAATAATTCCAGCACTTGAAAACTGCTTCAGCATGAAACTCGAAGTTGTGCAATTAATGTAAGATATTATGCATATTTCGTAATAACTAGCTATGTTATATTACAATGAACACTGATGTAAAGTGTAAGAAAAACTGTTTTTATTACACTATACCTCGGTAACGAAGAAGACTCAAACTAGACTCGATATAGCGCCGCTACTCATACAGTTCCGCAGCGATAATCATCCAAGTATTCAGATAACCTCGGAACAGTGCCCCCAACAGCCACGACTGCTTTTTGACCCTTAGCCGCTCCATGTAATTGATATTACATAGCAGTAAAGCACTCCTTTTCTTTTGTTTCTTTCTTAATACTTTCTTTAATATTTAGAAGGCATTTAACCTGCCTTCGGTTTACAGTGTCACCTTTTTCATTTGTTTCTTTTTTAATCATTTCTTCCAAAGCCACTAAGACGCAAAAGATTACTGGGAATGGAAAAGAAAGAAAAGACTTTAGTGAGGAGAAAGGACAAAAACAACAGGATTCGGGAAGACAGAAGATGGCGATTGACATTACATTTAAATTTTAAAATATTGTAAGTGGCAGGGAAACAAGAAATTGGAATTGAGTTCTACAGGGGAGAAGTGCGAGAAAAGAAACTATTAGAATAGAACTTAGGGTTAGATCTAGTCATTTTAACAGTAAAAGTACTTAAATTTATGTGGTCGAGGTACCAAAAGGGGAGAGCACATTAGAACAACTGCCATGAAAATCTTTAAGGAAAAAAGGAAGTCATGACGATGGAAAAGTGGCTGAAGTCGAGCAGCCAGATCAGGACTGATAACATTACAGACCCTACTCTGGATTTTGTTGAGAACCTAGAGGTAAATAGTAGGACCATCAGGCCAGGTATAGCAGCAATATTCAATGCATGGATGGATAGTAGATTTCTAAATGTAACAAGACGGATTTCGACGAGAAAAATTATCAGGTACGACTCAGTGAATGAACGTTCTTAGACTTATCAACAGATTCAATATAATCGCTTCCCTTCATTTCATTAGAAAACGGGAGACAAAGAAGGCACAATGAGTTCAACTCCTAGAGCCATCGCGATGAAGGGCAAAAATGATTCTCCCTGATGATTTTCAGGTTAACAGTTTTCTTTTGGGGACGTTAGAATTTACAATCAGTTCCTTGCGCAAGTTAACGATTTTGACTTTGACGTCTCTCGTAGGTAGCTGCCATCTTGAACTGTCCCTCTTTCTGACGATTGTATATTCTGTCTTCTTACAGTTCATGATTAGTTCGTTCTTCTTCTCGCAATCATTATTATTGTGGGAGTTCCTGTTGTTTTCTTTCTGTATTTGCTATTGTTATATTGATTTTCTAAGCGTAGTTTAGATGTGGCACAAGACCGAAATTATGGGATACCCAGGGAGGATCGAACTCACTTCTCAGTCGTAATTGTTTTAGCGAAACAAGCTTGCTAACCATTACACCACGCCGAGGTGCCTATCGATTTTCCAAGCATAGCTTAGATGTGGCACAAGGCCGAAAGTGGAGGGACACCCAGTGAGGATCGAACTCACTACTACCGTTTGAGCATTACACCGCTTCGAGTTGCCCAGATTTTCCAAGAGTAGCTTAGACGTGTCACAAGGCTGAAAGTATGGGACACCCAGTGAGGATCGAACTCACTACGCAGTCGTAATTGTTCTAGCAAGACAAGCTCGAGGTGGTCATGTAAGTGGGGGTAATATGCTGTCTAAATAGTCCACCACTAGCAGCGGTTTGCCTACTGGCGAGTATTGTATTTTGTTGATGTTATAAAGATTGCCATTTCATTTCCAACCTCCGTTTTAATCTTTTTTATTCAGTAATCATTCCTAGGCTACAACAGCTATCAATACGGAGTCATCTGCGTTTGGGACCTAACCAGTGTTTGCTTTGAATGCATTTTAAATATTGTTTCTCTTGAGCGCTGATCGATGGAGTAGTCGTTAAACTAATCCCGGTGATCAATACTGTTGTAGTGATTGTAAACCTCATTGGGTTTCCCGCATTTTTTTTATAGAATAAACTGACCTTAGCAAATAACAAATGCAACTTAGTCAATTCTGTAAATGCAGCACCGTAATTATTCTTGTTTAAAATGCGCGTGTATATAATACGCAAACCCAACCTTTAGCTACGAAATTCTGGAAAAACATATCTCATGTATAATACGCAATTATTTTTTTTAATTTTTAATAGCTAAGTTAAACGTACACTTAACAGTTTTTCTCTGGTTCATATCGACTAAAATTAACAATTTTTATACTTCATATTATGTCTTAAAACTCAAAATTTACGCATTATTTTGAGAAAACGGCCAAATATATGTACGTGGATGCTGGAAACGTGTCAGAATATCGCTGAAAGAATCGTTGCAGTTATTCAAAATAGTCTGCATCACGAACGCACTGGACAACTGTGACATCTCTTTAATGAAAGAAGAACCTGATAACTAGGTGAGTCTACGACTACGACATGGAAGATGACGAAAACACTAACTACGCATGCACGGCCGTGAAGAGGTGAGCCTTTGTAGATAATTTTTAGAAAGAAGGATAAGATGACTCCGTGGACGATGACAACATCAAAGATGACGAAGCCATTTACTACGCTGGACAAGAAGAGATGAGATTCTTTTTGATGATCGAAGCCATGATGAATCTGTGGATGACAGCATCTGACCTGATGAAGATATCTACTATGCTGACAGCATAAATGATAATGTCATGGCGTCTATCTTTGACACGGACAAAAATAAAGTAGACTGCAATGTACTTCATATCTATTAGAATGATTTAAATTCTTTTTTTAAACATCCGTGAGTTTCAATCATAATCTACGTTTTGTTAGAAAGTCCCAAATATGGAGTCTTACGCCCATATCACACTGGTTCGCGTTTCATCACCGAATTAAAGCAACGCCGTTATATTCACTGACTCACAAATAACTTTGGAAGAAGGTATGTATCCTCCACTTCTTCCACAGCTTTGGATTAATTACTATTCTCTATAAAAATCATTATTATCTCCAAAAACTTCTTGCAATCTAAAAATAAATAAGTATCATAATAAAAAAAAAATCAGTCAATAAAAAAATCAAATATGGCGACGCGACCGATTTTTATGAGCGATAGATTATAAGGAGTTTAATATTGATTTAAAGTCCTCACAAGCCAAGGGTACTCACTTCCATCAATACGTAAACTCTTAAACTCTTGTACATACAACTTGGATGTGCAAATAACATGGATTATATGCGCGCAAATGTGTTACGTTTCATCGAATAAAGAGTTTTCGTTCTATTTACATATAGATTGATTCCATAAGGCATAGTACTCGTGTTCTACGTCGTGCACTGTTAAGTGTTTGTGTCGGTTTTCGAGCCTGGGTAAAAGACAGGATTTCGAATGCAAATTTTTGAAGCAGCCATACCTCTGCAAGATTGGCTTGACACAAACTTCACAAACACTTTTCTACAACAAGGTACCCTAAAAATATCTTACACTGATCTCAACACTACATCTCGTTAGCGCTCTCATATGTGCTGAAGATTTCATTCGCGCAAGAAACAGACTCGCTGCTCTATGTTGACCCCAGTGTCCACTTATATTTACACACACTCTATCCCTGATATTGAGTACTTTTACCCATACACATAGCGTACCTTAATTTTTTTTCATATTATATATATATATATATATATATATATATATATATATATATATATATATGTATACAGGATGTACCAACAAAATTGACATCATTTATAATATTAATATCCCAGGCAAACGAACTTAAATAGACTTCATGTTGAACAATAAAAGATTCATTTATGAAACTTCAAACAAAATACTCAAAAAAGACGTAGATTTTATGACCAATTTCACAAAGCTTCACAAATGTTCAATACACCACCAACTCATTAGTCAGCTCTGACAAAACACGATGTAGCATATCTTGCGTTACATTCTCCAGTTACAATGTCTGGGTGACAACCTATATATATATATATATATATATATATATATATATATATATATATATATATAGGAATCCCTCGATTAGTGCGGCTAATGTGTACATCGGTAACTATAAAAATGTCAGTTTTCAATTACTATGATTAAACTGAATAATGTTCAACCACACTAATCGATTACTATGTATGCACCAATCGAATGCGCATTAATCGAGGGACGGCTGTATTATGTATGAGTGATCGCAGGACTAAATTGCGTATGTATTGTTAATTTCTGACTATTAAAAACTAATAACAACAACTTAATATTAATAATCTAAAAGTACGCATACTATATAATACTAATATTTCAGAAATCCACACCCACATTTTGGGGTGTATTGTTGTTTATGATCGAAAAAATATCAATAAATTTAGATGATACGTATTATTTGGTTTCTGTAGTGAAATCGTTAAGAAGACTTGTTAATGAATATCGATTTTCCCTGATTATTTAGCGAACGTACTGTTGGCGATATGCGATTAGAATTTATAGAAATAATATGGAAAAAATACGAGTCAAAAAAGTAATTGTAATTGACAATACTTCATCTAAGAAATTCCAATGCATTTATCTACGATGTTTTTCATTTAAAAAAAAAAGAAAAGCTAAGAACAAAAGAAAAAAAAATAGGAGAAAGTTATCAAGTTCCTGTAGTTAATTTCCGTCAGAGCATTTCTGCTAGATTAGTGTATTTTTTTTTTTTCGTTTTCTTTTTTAATGCTTGCCTTTGCATATGTATCTGTCCGTGCTTACAGTTTGTCGGGGAGCCGATACGGGCGTCGTTGATGTATGCCCGCTCGTGTGCGCCTCTGTGTGTCTGCGGTGTCCATTTACACTGACGTACGCTTCCGTACGTGCCAACGTCATTCCAGAGCGTATATCAAATAAGTAAAAATGGTGATCATGCGAATTTTTTTTTTTTCAAAACATAAATATACGCACGCGCGCTCAAACGAACACTTCGCACCCGCGCCCGCACGTGTACGTGTGTGCGTGAGCATGTGCCCGCGAGTGCATACTTGAGGTTTTGCAGACGTGGGCAAGTTCAAGGGAAATTTTCGTGTACTTATACACACACATACACACACACACACACACACACACACATATATATATATATATATATATATATATATATATATATATATATATATATAGCCAAATTATATATTGTTTTTCGCTTTGCTGTCAATGTATGTACACATGCACACATATATACATGGCCAAAAGTAAAGGATCGTGTATACATTAATACAGGATTATATATGCAAGGAAGAACGAGGGAGGGTGAAAAATGCAACCATGCGCATGCCAACATGTGTCATTAAATATATATATATATATATATATATATATATATATATATATATATATATATATATACTTAAAAGAATTCGAATAAGAGACCACTATCAATGTTTGTTCATATTTATCTACATTTTAGCTGACGTGTTTGTATATACGAATTCTTTTTACATATATGTGTACACATATACATACAGCTTCTTTTACTTTTTATATGCGCCCACTTACATGCAGTCGAAGAGACATACCTAACTATATGTTGATATATACATAAATATATATATATATATATATATATATATATATATATATATATATATATATATATATATATATATATATATGTATGTATATATCGTAATATAAAAGTGCCATGGTAGTAAAAAAATATACATTTGATCCTAGACAAATAATCCTATATATGATATCATTGCTTCGATGTGTTCATACACACCTTATATTTATATATATATATATATATATATATATATATATATATATATATATATATATATATATATATGTGTGTGTGTGTGTGTGTGTGTGTGTGTGTGTGTGTGTGTGTGTGTGTTGTAACTATCCAGAATACTTACAGGTGGTTCTTTTTATACATGCTTATGTTATTGTGTGCGTCTGCGCGGGCGTTGGCTTGCGAAGTGATACTCGTGATCGTTTTGATAAAGTTTTCTTTAATGCAAAAATGGAAAATTCATTATTACGTGCTAAAGCTAGTTTGTCGACTTTATTTTATCGATGTCGATATTTCTTTAAATGTTCATGTCAATTCTATGAATCAGTCAGTTATGTGCCATGCGTGATACACGCTTAGGCGATCATGTATCTTTCGATACATGACTGACGAGGCAGATTTTTCTTTTCCCGCAGCAGGTTGCCAGGCTATAGAACCCGGTCTGTCCTGCTATTTATCCATATCTGGTTGGAGAAGAAGAGGATTTATACCTTTCCCAATGTAAATGGATTCGACTGGAATTAGAACTCGGCTCTCTCCAATCGGAGGCGCTATCTATTACTTCAGTGTGCCTCCTTTAGGGATACTAGATTCTAGGGATACTGTTATAAATCTATTGATGAAGTATTCGTGTCACTTAAAATCTTGTCAATGCCTGAATAAAGGTTTTCAGCTGAAATATATATATATATATATATATATATATATATATATATATGACGAAATATAGTCTTAGGTGTGTGCTATATGATAAAGTACTCGATATCAGAGATAGAGCGTGTGTAAATATAAAAGTGAACATAGAAGTCAACATTAGAGGCGACAGTCTGTTTCATGCTATATGACATCGTCAGGCCTGTTCACTTTTATATATATATATATATATATATATATATATATATAAAATAGAGAGAGAGAGAGAGAGAAATTGCGTTAAAATATGTGTGAAGACGCGGCTGTTTAAATTCATACGTATGAAGTGATTGGAAAAGAAATTGCAAAAATTATATATATATATATATATATATATATATATATATATATATATAAAGAGAGAAAAAAAGATAGAATTAGATAGAGAGAAATACAAACGAACGGACAGACGAACAGGCTGAGATACATACGAACCGGCTAATAGAGACAGCGAGACAAACAGATAGATAGATAGATAGATAGATAGATAGATAGATAGATAGATAGATATCGCCAATAGCTGGAGTGAGCAGTGTTTTTCGCTCACTCTCAATAGTAAGTATAAAACATGTCAGTTCCTTCAAGCGACTCTTGTGGCTATTGGGAACCAAGACATGTTATTTTTATTTTCCATCTCGACTGAACTATACATATTGAGGCCGTTGATGCTTTGACCTTGGTCACTAGTTATCCTTAGGACGTATACACAATTAATACTGGCGGGATGTGTTATGAGTCTAGGATCGATGATGCAAGAAGCCTTTGGTGATGAAACGCTCAACAAGCTGGGTATAGGTTGATAGAAAAATGATGATCGTCCAAATCGTTCATTAGATTCAAACTCAACAGAAAATATCGCCTCCTACCCAACTCTGAATAGAAAATGGTGTTTGAAAACCAGGTTCTGTCTATTAAGCGATTAATTAGTAATATTTGTTGAGCTCTTTTAAACAATACCAAGTACTATTCCACCATGGCCGATGAGAGGCAGAACTTTCACCAGTCGCGATGAACTAATGTTCCTCAAGGAAGTGCCGTGACTTGAGCGCCTATTCGGACGTAAACTGAGCGCAGACCTCAAGTGGAATTCGTACATATGATCCACCTCTAAAGATGCTGAAAAAAAATGGTCGGTTCCCTGTAGCGCTCTAAAGTAACTGACTCCTCTTGATATCCTCTACCTTAGCCAGATCAGGCCAAAAATGAAGTACTCCTGCCGTATATGAACAGGAGCTGCCCAGTCGATACTTTCCACTCCCGTTAGAATCCAAAAGTGACTCCGTGTAATTATAGCTGACGAATTATTTTCCACCCTACAACCTCTTTTCTCACAGGCGAAATGTCGCAAGCCTCTTGCTGCTCTATTTCTATTTCCATGGAAAGAGTTCAGATGAACTACGCTCCCCTGTTCCTCTAGTTATAACCTTCACGGCTAAGACCCACTATTTCACGAACATTGTAACGATCAACCCTCATTCCCTTCGTATTCCTTTGGTGAGATGTAAGTTCCACCCGAGCAGCTGCTTCCCACGAAACCGACTCCCAAGATTATGCTTCCCCGATCACTACAATCTTAACCTGTTCAAGTCTAGGGTTAAATGTTACCTTACACCCAAATTTCTGAATTATCGATGCTATTCGGTATAGTCATCAGAGAAATTCTTCAGTGTGTTTTTTATTTGCTTATATCAAATCTATTACTTTATATTGAAAGTATAGGAGTTTCATAGTAAGATCTATAAAAATAATCCATAGAACTGTAAATTGCAATGGTAATTTACTAGATATTTTAAGCACCTCATACACTTGAAATCCAACTGGTTCATCAACAGATACATACACACGAGATCTGATCAAAAAGTATCGGGACTGGTGCTATAAAAAGAAAACTACAACACATATTAGTTCTGCATTTAATCTCCTTCGAAATAAATCCTTTCTGAAGACACACACTTTAATCCAGCGTCGTTTCCATTGAGGGAATCATTCCTGGAACTACTTTTTCAGGATAGCGAGCAGCTGCCTATTCGCATTCTCTTGGATTTCCTCGACGTCTTGAAATCTTGTTCCTTTTAAGTGGTATTTGATTTTTGAAAAGGAAAAAGTCGCAAGACGACCACACTCTACACACTTTCCTCCAAAGCAATACTATAACAGCGTTATAACGGAGTGTATATGAACGAGTTCAAAGTCAATATACGCCAAGACGTTTCACTCTGGGTACTTTTTTCCGTTACCATTAACAACAGTCCCGGTACTTTTTTTTATCAGACCTCATATATCAGTCTAATGGTTAGAAATTGAATGACAAATTGGAAAAAATCTCATGGGACGTGTTTTCTCATTCGAAATCTCATCGTCAGACAAAATATTTTTTTTTACTGATGAAATCATATATATATATATATATATATATATATATATATATATATATATATAAGGGAAGGAAATGAAATATAACAAATGTCGGTTATCGTTATACATCGAGAGAAATGCTGAAGATGCAGAAACGCTTCTAAATTTTAAATATCTAGTGGCTTCAGAAAATATACTCATTTGATTAGTTTGTTTGTTTTTTATCTTAATAAACCTGATTATAATTAATTTTTACATTTATCTAAAGCGAAAGTAATTTATTAAGCGGGAAAGTGCACTAATTTCTGAGTTTTCCACAGTAAATTAGCGTTCAGGTTCATCAATATGGAGCACTAAAAAAAGATGTCGAAAACTGAATGAGATCGGTTAGGCTGTACATGTAAACACATCGGTCGTCATAAATTTAAGATTTAGAAAATAAAGTTAAGCCTTCATGCATCTCCGTTTCTCTCGATGAATAGCAATAGAAGTTTGTTATGTTTCGCTCCTTCCTCTTATATATATATATATATATATATATATATATATATATATATATATATATATATATATATATGGTACGTGGGATGAAATTCCTATTGAAAATTACTTATAGTTTTTATTAATATCACTACATTTGCATGAAACAAAATATATTGTGCTTTCTGAAGTAGTAGAATTTCATTGTTAATTTCTGTTTTTCCTTCAGAGTGGCAAATGTAGCCCCGAAGGACGCAACGTCTGATACTGCATGCACGTGTGGCTGGACGCGGTACAATTGCAGAGATGTCAGCGCAATGTTCATGAACCTCGTGCTTCAGCAGACGCTAAAATCACCAGAAATTGTTATTCCAAGCTGATGGGTACGAAATCTGTGGTACATACCCACAGAATTGGTCGTCCTTTAACATCCAGATTGGAAGAAAAGGCGCAAAAGGTACAGGAAATGTTCACGGATATACCCAGACGATTACAAACACTGGTGGACAACGATGATACTAGTACTGT